TTTATCCCCGGCATTGTGAAGGCGTGTTTCCAAGTCTGTAACCGTCAGGTGACGACAGTTTGGGCGCATGTGTGTGGATAATAAATCACTCTGTGTTCTCTACCCAAGCCCCCGTCACATACGCCAGCCACAGCATTCAACAGCCGTTGTCGTGCTGTTTGGTCTTGAGCCTCGCGCGGTAGGAGACACGTGTCACACGGCGTCCGCAGCTCCCATCACGAATCCCATGCAACGTGGGTTTGTACCTTTTGATGGTGATGACGCGAGCTTCCCTGGATGGGTCACTCTCACACGGGTCTTGATGCACACGTCTGGCCTTGGAATGATAATGTTGGGAAAAGACAACCTCCTGAAGCTCTGACGGGAGATGAAGCCCCGGACAAACGGGCGGCGCATGCCACTGCGATGAAGAAATTCGCTGAGAGAAATGGCGAGTTGTACATGCGGGCTTCTGATGTCGTCGTCCGACGGCGCAGGAGGGTTCTCCCGCGCGGCATCACAGGTGGTACAGAGGTACGCGCCGATTGGAGATGCTGAGTATGGGAATGGTCGTGCTGCCTTCGTAGCGCTAGAGAAGAAGCACAAGGTGGCGGGTCCGTACCGGATGAAGCAGCTGCACGCCCAACTGGCATCCGTCACCGTCACAGCAAGCGACGAATATCTTGATCCGTCGCGCGCGATCCAGGAGTTCCGCCGCATTTCTACCTAGTCGGGTTCTCTCGGCGATATTGTCGTCGACTCACGGCTGTCCAACGCTTTGCATGACGCTCTCCCGGACATCCACTACAGCGAACTGAAGACTGCGTTGCTATGTGAGTCGCAGAGGTCGGCTGAGGGTACGGTTGATTTCGAAGTACTCGCCCTCCGTGCTACAACGTTTCATGCAATGCGAATCCGGGGGAAAGACTCTGGCCGCGTTGATGGGGCAGGCAGTCATGGTCGGGCTTTGAACACTGTCACGCACGGAGGAGCCCGTGCCTTCCGCAAGCAAGGGGGGCGCGGTGGACGTGGCGAACGTGGCGGTCAAGGAAATGGCGGCCAAACTACGAACGGTTCGACGGGCGGCGGTTCGTCGAACGGGAACAACGGACGTGCCTCGACACACGGAGACAGCGCGGGAAAAGCGCAAGGCGGACGCGGCAATGGTCGCTGTAGCCAAGCTTCCGGTGGAAACGGTCGAGGACGGGGCCGGGACAATGGTCAAAACTCGAAGAGCTTGTGCAGGTACTGCCACAACTCCAAAGAGCATGGGTGGCACAACTGCCCGCTTCGCCTTTCGCAGGAGGCGGAAGAAGCCAAGGAACAGGCTTCTCATGTCACGCAGGAGTCGACCACGCAGGCGTGGTCTACGCGGATCGAGGGATCCAGCAGCCAGCTGGAGGATTCGCGATTGGTATCAGAGATGACACGCAGGTGCAGACGGAGCCTGATGACTACATGCGGGTATAGAAGGCACCTGTTGCGGTGCTGCCGGAAACGCGCGCCGCCAACAACCCGCAGGCGCAGAAGGTGCCTGGTGCGGCGCAGCTGGAGGAGCGCGCAGCTGGAGTTGTGCAGGTGCAGGACGTGCCTGCCACGGTGCTGCGTGATGAGCGCGCCGCTGGTGATGTGCCGGTGCAGGCGGTGCTTGTGGCAACGACTTACCTTCAGGCGGAGGAGGCGTCTGATGGAACAGAGTAAGTCGCGTACACCAACGTGTTTCAAGTGGAACAGGTGAATCCCTCCGCTGTTGGAGACACGACTGTATACATCGATTCTGCCGCTTCTAGCCACATGATATGCACCGAGTCCCGCCTGTCCAAACATGTTCGTGATCCGGTGGACTGCGCCGTGCGTATCATCGGGTCGTGTGGTACTTCAAATGCAACCAAGAAAAGCACGATAATATTGAAAATTCGGAATGACAAGAACACGGTGGTACCGGTAGCGGTGGAAGGTCTGCTGGTTCGCAACCTAGGGGCTAACATCTTGTCGGTTGGAGCTTTGGCCGAATAGGGGGTGCTGTGTGATCTATTGTCGACCCCGCCGGCGCTTCGCCATGGCAACCATGATCTCCCCATCTCGACGGCGGTGCGGCGGATGTACGTCGTGAACGTCATCATCGACGACGTCAATCTTGACGCCGCCGAGGTGTACCGCACCTAGGTCGACGCTGATATGTGGCATCGTAGAATGTGGCGTCGTAGAATGGGTCATTGCCACCCACGTGCTCTAAAGCAGCTGGTGGACAAAGCGACAACCGGAGTGAAGTTCAACCGGAACATCGAACTATTAGGTGACTGCGGGGTTCGCGCGGTTGGCGACATGAAGAAAGGTAGCCACCCCCCGTCGAATCGCACTCGAGCCACGACTCAGCTTGAGATTCTGAGAGCCGATGTGTGGGGGCCGCACCCTGTCAAGTTGTCCGGCGGTTGCCAGAGTGCCGTTACCTTTACTGATGACCTCCCTCGCATGAGGGTGGCTTTGTCCTGAAGACGAAAGATGGGGTGGCGGAGTCGGTCCAAGAGCTTATCCAGAACGAAGCGGATCCTTTGGGGACCTGCATCGGCAAGGTGCACTGCGATGGCGGAGCAGAGCTCAAGGGCAGGGTCCAAGCGTTGTGTGAGCCCATGGGGATCAAGGTCGATAATAGCCCTCCCTACGTCCCGCAAGGGAACGCCATCGCCGAACGTGTATTTGGCACCATCATCTTCCAGGCCATCTGTGGGGCAAAGCATTCCATACAGCTATCTACCTCAAGAATCGCACACCTACGGAGGTTCTGGGCGGAACGGTCCCACATGAGGTATGGCAGGGGAAACCGCTCGGTGACATGTCGCACATCCACGAATGGGGCTCGGTAGCCTATACACATGAGGAAGCGCGATTCCGGAACACCAAGCTGTCAGCTAGGGCCACGAAGGTGTATCATGTGGCGTACAACACTAAAAATAGGACATACAGGCTGTGGGAACCGGCGGAGCCCCTCAAGAATACAAACTTCGCTGAGGTGTCCTTTCGTGAGTTTGAGACTCGCGACGTGATCAAACCCAAGGAAGGGTACGACCCGTTCTCAGCGATGCAGCGATGACTCCCACGACCATCTATCTGCCGGACACGGTGGACGCCAACGAAGAAGAAAACAAAACAGAAGCAGAAGAAGAAGAACAAGAAGAAGAAGAAGAAGAAGTAACGCCAACGCCATCGGGACCCAAATGGAGGATTTCAACTTACGTCGGAGCGGCAGGGTCTCCAACGCACCGGAGCGGATGAATCTGCATACGACGGAGGAGGCGTACGAGCGGACCGAGCATGCCCTGTTGACGGGTAGTGTGCTCGGAAACATCGGGACTGGTCGCCCCGGTGAGGCGGGCTACAGGCCTGCTGATCCCGCAAGCTATTATGGCGCAGCGGTCAACGGCACGCAGGGAGAACTCTGGAAAGAAAGCGTCAGCGACGAGGGAAAGCCGCTATACAAACATGACGTGTTCGACTGGGTGGATCCGCCGAAGAACGCTAAACCGATCCCGTCTAGGTTCCATTTCGTGTGGAAGTACAATCAGGACGGCGTGGCGGTTCGCGCGAAAACTCGTGTGGTGGTGCAAGGCTTTTACGAAGCTGATACGGGGGCTGACAAGGCGGCGCCGGTGGCGTCCATGGAATCCGTACTCATGATGTTAGCAGTTGCTGCCCACAACCATCTCGTCCTGAAGCAAGCGGATATCAAGACGACATTTCTACCTGCCAGAATCCCCGAGGAGGCGGAGCCTACATACGTCATACCGCCGAAGGGATTCCCGTGTTCGCCGGGTCAAGTTAACAAGTCTGGCTTCTCAAGGCGTGGCTCCATGGCCTGCGCCTCTCCCCGAAGGGATGGAACTGTACTTTTCATGTCTTTCTGCTGGAGCTTGGCTTTGTGCAGAGCACCGCAGACCCGTGTCTTTACTCCCTGCAAGACGGAGAAGTACTTCTGCTTGTAGACTATACGTGGACAACATCCTGTCCACCGGCACCAATGAAGGTGACGACGGTAATCTCGCAGCTGAAGGAAAGGTTCGAAACGGTGGATCTGGGGGATGCGAAGTTCCTTCTGGGAATGGTCATTCAGCGCCATCTCAACGCCGGAACACTTCTCCTGACGCAAGAGGCGTACACCAAGGCCGTGCTGGCTAAGTTCAACATGGCTGACGCGCACCCGACGAAGACGCCGGCTGAGGTTGGGCCGATCACTACGGCGGAGGATGAAGTGCTGTCGCCAGAGGATACCAAGAACTTCCGGTCGGCTACGGGTTCGGTTCTTTACCTTTTTGTAGGGGAACGAGGCCGGACATTGCACACTCACCGTTGGTGCTTATCAGGAGCATGGCGAAACCAGGCGGCTAAACAGCCGCTGGTGGCCGTCTCATTGGTGGAGGCGGAGTACGTGGCGTTGTCCAAGGCTTGCCAGCTCATCATCCCCTTCCGGCACCTACTCATGACTTTAGCCCGTGCCCAGTAGGAGGCAACGGTGCGTTACGAGGATAAATCCGGCGCTATATTGACTAGCCTTAACTCCAAGATCACACCCAGGACCAAGCATATTGATATCAAGGATCACCACATCAGGTCGCTGATCCAGGATGGAGTCGTAAAGGTCGAGAAGATCGAGTCAGCAATGCAGAAAGCTGACGTGTTTACCAAGAGTTTGGGTGCTGTGAAGTTCATCAAGAACCGCATGATGCTCCTAGGAGAATAATTTGTGTTGGAAACGAAGCTCAGGAGATGTGTGTAGGAGGACAAGAATTCGCTGCTTGAAGAAAATGTATAGCAGCTAGGAAGTATTTTGATGTTGTATGTATGCAAGTACTAGTGAAGATTGTTGATTCGAGAGGACATTGACGTTGTTCTGAGAGCACATCGAGACTGAAGTTGTCTTGTGTATCAGAACGAGAATGCCGTACAAGCTGCGCCAGGCGAAAAGCTCACTTTCGTTCGTTCGAGTCTCATTCTGTCGTTTCCACGAATTTGGGCTTGAATTTTTTTGGCTGCTCTCATGAGACAGTATGGGAAGCGCAGGTGCCAGAATTATTCGAATCTGAGTTGATTAAGGTACTAAACCATCAGTTGGCGGCGTAGGGGGGGGTACTTCCGGTACTGAAATCAGCATAGTAAAAGTTACACCGAATAAGTTGAAACTTGGTGTCCACTTATTACCTGGGAGCAGTGCGAGAACAATGATGATTGTTACAAGGCTCAAATCATCTTCTACCAAGAGATATGGCCTCGTATACAATCCGATACAACTCACAAGATAGCCAAGGAAATGTGAGGCTATCGCAATTACATCACGGCTTTTACGAGTTGGAATCTGAAGTTTTGACATACATGTGGTCGGTATTAGTACAACCAAGACCTTGACTGGAAGCACCCTTTGTTTTGTTTTTTAGCCCCCCTATACACAAAAAAAGGATCACCATTTGTTCTACAATAGGGCTACAAAGTTGAAGAGGAGATATTTTTACGATGTAAGTGACAGTAGAAATAAGTCCTACATATGTTGTTGTACTTCGTATTGGTCTAATACTTATGTAGAGTATGAGACATTAAGTGAAAGTTTTCTGAGGTACATCTGCAATTGTCGGAAGGCAAAAAAAAAAATAGGGCTTCCTCGTGAAAAAAAAAAAGGGTGCTTCCAGTCAAGGTCTTGGTTGTACTAATACCGACCACACATCAAAATTTCAGGTTCTAATTCGTAGAAATCGTGGTGTAAATCGTTATCAGCCATTTTGCATGCAACTTGGCTGGCCCAGCTTGTAGTTCTTGAGAGGACATGTTGGGGTATTTGTGTTTTGCATGAATGACTATATTCGGCTGTGTTATCCCCCGCATTATTAAGGCGTGTTTCCAAGTCTGTCTGTCTGTAACCGTCAGGTGAAGACAGCTTGGGCGCCGGTGTGTGGATAATAAATCACTCTGTGTTTCTCTACCCAAGCCTCCGTCACATACGCTAGCCACAGCATACAACAGCCGTTGTCGTACTGTTAGTTACGATACGATGGCTGAAAATGGCGATGAGCTTTGAACTTTTTCGTTTCTGTCCAAGATGCGGCCGTCGAAGGCGCCGGAAGGCCCCGAAGGTACATGGCGTCATTCGAATGCTTCCCTATCCGGAACCAACTCTTACACCTTCATCATTGGGACGTTGGTGTGACATTGTCTCCCGCCACGAAAAGCACAGCAGTCGTAGTAGCGTGCGGTGTGTAGGCCAAACTCGTTTTCAGGCCTGGCGTGCCTCCTCACTCAGAACACAGTGTACGGTACGTGCAGAGCACAACAAGGCGCTGGCATGTTGTCTAAATTTGGAATATTATATTTGTAGACTGTTGTTGCTGGTGTGTGCATTTTTGTAAAAAGGGTCTTTGCCCGACACGAGATAAGGTGCCCCAAGCCTTATTTATATACTGACATGTGGTGCCCACATACCCCCCCGGATACGAACGAGCGGACAGCTCAGCATCATAGATAAATAGATAGGCGGGTACCACGACGCACCCCCCCCGTAGCATGTACGGTACCCGGAACCCGACCGGCTGGCGGCGGACAACAAAACCATTTACACGTGCCCGGATTCGAACCCGGGACTTTGATATTGCAGGGATGGCATCCTGCCGCTGACGCCACTGTAGAACAGATGTTTGTTTGTTTGTTTGTTTGTTTGTTTGTTTTTGTCCCATCAGTGGACTCTGTCGTCTGCCCCTCTGGCCCCTATCCTCCACTTCTACTAGCTAGACGACCCAACCGGGGTCACATAGGAGGGGGGGGTTTTTTCTGTTTCTTCGTGGGGTCGTGTATGCCGGGTTTTGAGACCACGGGCTCCCAATTTTGTTTTTTAGAGCTAATGTGAGAAACAACAACAACAACAAACATAGGAGGGGGGGGCTGGACCCCCTCCTGCGGTTCATGCCTGAGGTATTATTATCGCGAGAAGGGTACAGCAATCCCTTCCCTCGCGACTTACGAAGTCGATTATGGTTTACTA